TTTCTTTCGTAAACAAGGTATATATGTTCTTAGCTTGTAGAAAAGTAGGAGATAATTATTCTGCCCGGACTTAGGTGAAAAAGGTTTTAAAGAAAGAATGGAGGATCCTGACACGGTATACAGCAACCAGTCAAGTGATCGAGAGGGGTATCTTTATGGTACAAAATCTGAAGCAAGTTTTGGATCCCTTTGTGATAACAAACAGTTGTTTTAGCAGGTCCCATTGGGTAGTACTTTGTACACTTGGTGAGTTTTTATTAGACTAGAACATTTGCTATAGAGATCAAAGGTACTTTGACACTTATTGTATCACATAGTAGTTCAAATAAATAAAAACAGGATTGCTTAAAAAAAAAAAAAAAAAAGATATTAGTTATACAAGTTGATCTACAATCTATTTTGAAAATGTTTACACCCTACTCTTAAATCATCACAAATTAATTGCACAGTTAAAGCATATCTCATTTTTTCTATTATTGTAAGCTTCACTATTTTAGTAGTTTGTATTAAAGCACAACATCAGTTCCATCAAGAAATCCAATAAATCCAGATAATTACTCTATTCTATTCTATTTTAATTTGCTATCGCTTAATAGAATCAGGCTACTGTACATATGTATATCCAATTGAATTAATAGCTGTTACTATACACCAATTCCTAAGCCCCACTATCTAGTAAATCGTCCTACAGAAGCGCCATTTCCATTACAACCTAAGTGCTCTAAAGCTACTGCCAATTGTTGCCAAACAGGTCTTTGTAAATGTTTAGAATTATTTAAAAAACAGAATTATTGCAAATTAAAATTTCTGTTTGCCAGAATGTCTCTAGTAATTTGCTTAAAATTATAATCATTATAATTAAGAAAAAGAGCTTGAAAAAAGTGTTAGATTTAATTGTTTTTTCACGTATAGTAAGATATCGATCCAGATCCAGTTTTATGGCTTGTATTAATTCGAATGGTTCGTCAATTTCTTTACAACAGGAGGAACTGTCGACGTTACATGACTGATCCAACATGTAAAAAAATTATTTTACAATACCAGATCTTTCCGTCAGTACATGTTATGATTATAATCCCACACTATTTTTATTATAATAAAATGGTATGGGATTATAATCATAACATGTACTAGCGGAATGATCTGGTATTGTAAAATAATTTTTTTATATGTTGAACACCGAGTGAAAGACCAGTCGTGTAACATCGACGGTTCCTCCTGTTTTCTTTACCAGAACTTTAGTAGCCTTTAAGTGTCTAAAAAGATTATTTGTTTGGGGTCTTTGCCTTAAAAATGACCTTACGGTATCATGTACCGTAAGGTCATTTTCAAGGTAAAGACCCCATTTGGTTAAATTTGACGTTGTCGATGTGAAATTATAAATAGGATTTTGTACATCACTTATTTCAAAATAAATACGTCATCATATTTTATCAAAGTAAGATTTAATTCTGGAACCCCTTAACTATACATAATACAAAATTTTCTAAATCATTAAAATAATAAAGTGTTTGTGTAAATAAATACCTTTATTGAAGTCATTAATTTAGAAATATGAATATTTAATGTGCTACTTTAAAAATCATCTAAGGGAATTTTGATGTTACTTGATTACGTATCTGCTTGGCATAATCTGTAACCGATAATCAAGTTACACATTATTCAATGTGACAATTAAGAATCACTTATTTAGCATCACTTAATCAAAATTTTGGGTTTTCGCTTTTTTTTTCTATTCTTACTTTTACGTATTTGGGAATTTGAACATTAAGAAAATGAAAATTAGTCAAAATAAAAATGATTTCAAACATAATCCCGGTACCATAGATCAAATACTTGCACCTGAATATTTTTATATTATTTTTAGGTACCTCGTAAACAACAAAAATTTACATTCCTGCCTTTTGGTCAATAAATATTGGGCTTCTTGTGCCGTACCAATTTTATGGGAATCTCCTTTCAATATCAATGATAAATTTATTCCGTCACCCAAAGTAATTCGGACCTATCTCACATTTATAGCGGTTGAGAATTTTTACACTAGCTCAACGATTAAAAGGCCGCTTTACGATTATCCATCATTTCTCAAAGAACTTCCATTTGATCGATTTCTTAATGCTGCCATTGCGAATGGCTGCTCTGAGGCAAAAATAATTGAATTAATTAAAATGTTTTCAACTTATGCAGTAAAGTTTCACCGATTTGATCTCTATAACAACCTATCTTCAAATTTTCATGATCATATGGCTTCTACGATTCTTCCTCAGCTTTTTGAATACTCTCTAATGTTTAGGAACTTGTCACGCCTAAATTATACATATCATTGGCCTGCTAAAAAAGATCAAATCTTCAATGTAATAGCATATATCTGTCATAATATTGAAAATCTTAAAGCTACTGTTTGGAATGAGGATGAAGGAATTGCATTGGCAAAACTTGTGTGTGCTCAAAAACGGTTAAAAAAGTTCTCACTATTAAATAGCAATAGCTTCGCATCATTTCCTGTTCAATCTCTCGAAAGTCAAATACAATCACTTAATAGTTTAACGTTCAAAGACATGCATTC